GGTACATGGCGGGATTCGAACCCAAGACCTGTAGATTACAAGTCAAGTATTCAAACCACTGAGCCACCGACGCTCTTCAAAAAGTTAACCAGCTGTTAAATGACCAAATTAATTACAACAAATTAATCATTTCGCGGAATGCTACATAGGTACTTCTTTTACATTATATGAGTTCCTGGTACTTCATCTAAATCGGACGGTCTCTTCCTCATAATCTTTTTATTCTTTTTTTTTCAGTTATCATCACACGATGTCTCCTCCACTTGTATGGGCGCTGCGACAATGTCTTCGGGAGCTAAGCATGGAGACGTTAGAGAAATCATGGGAGAGACACGCTAAGGTATCAAGACACTTCTACGAGCGGCTCCAGCGGCTCCCTCTGGAGTTCCTCGTGCCAAATCCTGAATACCGCCTCGCCACCGTTACTACTTTAGTACTACCTAACGGTTACAACTACAACGATGTCGTCAAATATCTTAGAGAAAAGTAAGCATCTTTTATAATTAATATGCAAACAAATTAGTTAAGTATTTTTGTAACTTTAGTCAATTCAGCCATTTTTTATTTATTTATTATAATGAGTATTTGACAACGAGATTCAAGAAATATATAGAGGAGACATATTAGCACCTAACAAAGAGACTACCAGTGAAAAAATTTATTCATGCCTCGTCTATATTTTTAATGTTTGGTACTATATTAATGGATACTTCAGTAATAAATTAATATTTAAATATTTCCAGGCATAACATCATAATATTCCCTGGCCTAGGACCAACGGCTGGGAAATCTTTGCGAATAGGCATCATGGGTGTGAACTCTACTGAGGCGGTGGCGGATGCCGTTGCCGACGCTCTGGTTGACGCACTACAAATGTTGATCAAGTCATCCCTATAATATACCATTGATATTAATCCAATTTGTGATAAAACCTTTCGTTCTAGACACTGTATGAACTCTTTTTAATACTTTTTTTTGCACCAAATGTACAATATTCGTGTATTATATTAATAAAATATATTATGCCACATGAGTTTGTTTTATCGAACAGTTGGAAAACAAGTTAGTCATGCTCCAATGAAACTATATCTATTTAAAAAGTTGAGTGTGATTGTAAGTAATTTCAGTACCACCGGAGTAGTAACCACATTGAAAGTTACATTACACTACCTATCCCTGACTATCTTGACTTAAGTTAGATATTGTATGATTGGTGATGATGTTCCCGTCGGTGGTTCAGACTTGCTGAAATGCCACATTGACAGTAGTGTTGCCTTACACTAGATCTTATCATACTAATATTATAAATGTGAAAGTTTAGATGGATGTTTGTTAGAGTTTGTAGCCTAAACTGATGGACGGATCTAAATGAAATTTTGCATACAGATAGAGGATAGTCTGGAAGAACACATAGGCTACTTGGTTTTGTTGTTTTTATACCACGCGGACGGAGTCGCGGGCGAAAGCTAGTTAATGTTATAAATGCGAAAGCTTAGATGGATGTAAGCATGTTTATTACAGTGTAGCATAAACGGCTCAACGGATCGCGGTGAAATTTGGCATATATGTAGAGGACAGTCTGAAAAAACACACAGACTACTAATGTTTTTTTAGTTCCTAGCGGATGGAGTCGCGGGCGAAAGGTAATGTATATATTAAAACAATTTTAAAGTTAGAATTCACAGGTAATTTTATTTCATTCTAAATCTGTCGTCGGTTCACAAAAAATTGGCTGGTGTTGGATAAAAGGTTAACTTAAAATTTTATGAGGAGTTTTAATACATAATATACTTTTTACATACTTTAAAATTCAAAATTCCATTACATTTACCGTGTATATCGGTTTACTTCATTTTATACTGGATACAATTATTAAAAAGAAAAAAAAACAACGCAATACAAGCTCGTAGTATCCTTTATGGCTATCAGTTATGTTATTCGCAAGCCAAAGGTAATTATTTCCTACTGTTAGATTATACACAAGTACTAAAAAACAAGATAACTCTTTCGTGTTTAATCAATTATTATCCTTATTTTATTTAAATGAATAATATATAGTCATAATAGATAGCCAAATACAACGTGAGTAAAACTATACATTCACAATTTTGATGGACTAGAAACCCACAACAAAATACGCGAAATTTCTTTATAAAACATCGAAAAAAAAAACATTCTCTTTTTGGTAATGTCTCACGATATCAGCAACTACAAAAATAATGCCGCAAAAACGAAATACATCAAGCCGTTACTTAATAATATATCTATAGTACAATAACATTAATCAAGGCAGGCGTAACTCCTAGCTACATGGCATACATTCCATCACATCGAAACATTTGGACTAGCTTTCTTAATTATATTTATCTAGTAATTAAACAAAACTAGTCACGTACTTACCTACTATCTTAATTAAGAGTTTAATATCCAGCTTCCATAATATAGTATACAAATAATATATGATTTAGTTATACATACGCATATACCGAGTTATTTACAAAATTCCATCAGACAGCAAATAGTACCAAAATATAATTACGTTACATTTAACTTCCAATTACACTTAAATTAAACCAATTACACTAAAATAAGTGTACATTTACGTGAAGTTAAAATAATGATATACAAGAAACTACAAGCAAATGCACAAAACGAAGACTTAATAGATAATACAATTTTGTGATGATTTCGTACTTAAAATTCCAATTCGATAACAATATACAACAGAGTCGTCAATAAATATCCATAATAAGTATAGTTTATATGTAATAATTTATTTATTTACATTAAGAAAATATGGCACATCTTTAACGTCTACCCACGAACGTGCGTCTCGCAGACGACACGTGAACAGGACGCGTGCGCGCGCGTCTCGTTGCGGCTCCGTCTAGTGCGCCTAATAAAATTTCTTGACGTTTTCATAATACCAATTAAAATACCGGTGGGAAACAATATATTTAACGTCGTCCAATTGTGTCGGAAGCCGCGCCGAGCCGCGCTGCGCCCGCGCCCGATATACATTCCAATCGCAAGATACATAAAAATATATCAGTCTATAGAGCGAAGCGTTCACTCACTTAGCCTAGGACACAGAGTAACTAAAAGCAGTAGTTCATTAACCACTAGTAGCGCAAACATACGCAATTTGCAACTTTTGCTTAACGAGAAAAAGCTCTCGTCATCATCTCCGTTTTGATAATCTTATTGGCATTAGATACCTTTAAAGAAGGGAATATCACTCTAGAATACATCCAAAAAGCACGTTAAAAACATTTTGAGAAATTAATCCTTTGCGTTCAGACTAAAACGGGGCAAAAATTAAAAATATTTCAAAGTTGATACTGTGAGTTGGTCTTCAAAAACAATCGAAGAAAATCTTAGATCACAAGAAATCAGTGAAAAGAAATATCTGAGCTAGGTTTATTTCAATTTTTATTTTATTATCTACCATTTAATGCTAATCATTTTCTTCTACTGACCTTACCTCAACTTATTCAGTATCTTGAAGTACGGATATAGAACGTTAGTGCGTCACAGTATCACATTCGTTCGTTATAGACTCAAACGTGTACTGCTGTTATTACAAAGGCTGTGACTCTAAAGGTCACTTACTAGGTGTTGCATAGTAGTGACTCCAGAAGTATAACGCAAGCAAGTTGCTACTGCTTTTAGTTAGTGTATTAGCCCGGCGCTCAGCTGGGCGCGGGGCGCGGC